AAAAACAAAATTTAACTATAGGGTTTGTTTATATAAAATTTTATATAGTTGGCCAATAGTTTTTTAGCGATATCTTGACAACTATTAGACCAATTTTAACGATTTAACTACCATTAGGTGCGTCCCAATAAGCTCTACAACTTTCAATTATTTTATATAAACTGTTAATTTAGTAAGAAAAAATGTTTACCTTGGATGAATGGCAAATTCATGATTTCATAGTAAATTTCTGTGTAACACAAAAATTTACTATGAAATTGCAAATCTGCCATTCGTCCAAGGTAAACATTTATTCTTACTAAGTTAATAGCTCTTGTATAATAATTGAAAGTTGTAGAGCTCATTGAGACGTACCTAACAGTAGTTAAATTGTTAAAATTAGTCTAATGGTTGCTGAGATATCACTAAAAAACTATTGGCTAACTATATAAAATTTTATACAGTCCTACCCCCTCTATCTGAGTCAAAAAGAGGAGAGGGTATGTTAAATAGAGTTTTAACTTGGTGTGGCCTTACTAATATATATAATTTTTCATTTTTAGCTAAATCAGGATTAATTTGTTGAGTTAAATTATCCAACCAACTTGGCATTAATAGTTTAAATTGTTTTATGTATTCTAAAAACATATGCTAGTACTCTACAATATCTGTTCTCTCATAACCATTAACATACAGTCTCTTTCTATATTGCTTATATTCTCACCCTAGTTTAGCTAGCTATCTTTGAACTATTCTTTTACTTATAGTTTTTTGATTTTCAATTCTGATACTTGGAAATATTATATTGCTAATATAGTTACAAATTTGGGAAATATTCAACTTAATTTGTTTGAATTTAAAAATTGAATCATCATAGTTTGAATATCCTTATCATATAGTAAAAAATAAGTCTTTTAATGTTTTTCCTATTTTGAGGTAATAATAAATTCATTTTCTAAATATTGATTACTTCAAGACCATATCAAACGTGTCATTCAAGGCTCATGATTAAGTAAGGTTGAAATTATGTCACCTGCTTCCTTTTTACTATAATCGAACTCTGCAAGTCAAAAATATTGTGCCACATATTGAAGCTGAATATCTTGTGTTCTATTTTTAATTACTTTTTTCAACTCTAATGATGAGTATTTAGAAGTTTCCTCCTCCTTAGAATCTTAATTTAGAACAGTTATAGTATTTAATTAAAATAAAAAAAAAATAGAATATATAGAATACAATTATTTAAATTATATATAGTTACCTGTATCAAAATCACTATTATTATTATTCTTATTAGTATCACTATGCTTAAAATAATTAGTAATTTTTTAAGAACTATGTGCTGCTAATTTCTAATATTGCCTTTTATTATGCATAGAAGATTTGGCATTTCCATTATAAAATTTATAGTTTAATACTTTTTCAAATACATTTTGTTTAGAAACATTATTAAACATTATATTATAGATATTAAAATCACTATTATTATTATTCTTATTAGTATCACTATGCTTAAAATAATTAGTAATTTTTTGAAAACCATGTGCTGCTAATTTCTAATATCACCTTTTATTATGCATAGAAGATTTGGCATTTCCATTATAAAATTTATAGTTTAATACTTTTTCAAATATATTTTGTTTAGAAACATTATTAAACATTATATTATAGATATTATTTAGTTCAGATTCAAGCATTTCATTTTTCCAATTACTTTTATCACCTGAAGATTTACTTTTACTATCTAAATAAGAAAAATATATATTAATTCAAATATTAACAAGTATATATAATGTAAAAAAATATTATAATATTGTATCAGTATATATTCTTACCAATTTTAATTATGCTTGTATTAGCTTTTTGTTTTTTTATAGCCCTAGCGAACTTTAAAGATTAAACTTGTTTGGATGGTCTCATTTGCTTAACTAATATTTATTAATTAATTAACTTCTATGTATCACATGTTGTTATCATAATTATTGATTAAAACCTTACTGTAGTTTTTACCTTTTATAGACTTTAATATCAAAGCACACAGTATAAATAATGTATATACAGTATAGAACAAGAATAACCACTAAGATGAGTAACGAAATCGAAATATTACACTACAACAAAGAACAAGATGCTGTAGTGAAAAACAATGAAGACCAACGAATGATGCTAAAGACTGACGAATAATGGTGAAGACCAATGAATAATGACAAAGAATACCAAAGAATACAATGACAACAAAGTATACCACCAAGAACGACAAAAACAAAATATCACCACAAGGCACAAATTCTGTATAAAACACACCACCACCACCTATACACCTTCACAAGCTTTACAAGAACGATCTTTAGGCACTATAACAAAACAAGCTACTAAGTAAGTTGATACTGATGTAAGGTTAGATGCACAGTATACTTCATATATAATTAAAAGTTTTATATCTTATTTATAGTATTAGACAAGATTCTTCAAGAAAAATTAGAAAAAGTAAAAAATTAATTGATGATCCTTGACTAAACTGAAGAAAAATTTCATATAATATCAACTAAAATGTTTTCTAACATAGCAGGATTTTTTACTAAGTTAATAGCTTATATAAATTAAGTAAAGTGTAGAGCTCTTCGAGACGCACCTAATAGTAGTTAAATCGTTAAAATTGGTCTGGTGATTGTTAAGATATTGTTAAAAACAAAATTTAACTATAGCATTTGTTTATACAGTCTTCCCTCTCTATAATCACACTGTTGGGATCATAGTAACTTTTTTTAAAAAATATGCTTATACAGTATTGTGCTTATATAGAGGTTTTTTTTCTATATGTTT